CTGAGGCATTTCAGCATCAACATTTTAACTTTACTGAATTTAATTTGAACTTAATTTAATGAGAAGTCAAATTTATTAGGCTGTTCTTGAACGTGCGCTAATCACTGAGGAGATCTCCAGGCATCGTGTAAAATTTCAAAACGTAATGAGGATGTAATTATAAATTAGAAGTCGCACATCTGAGACGCCGTCTCCTGGGTTTAAATCTTCCTGTTTTGATTTTCCGGCCCTTCCCACTCTGTCACGTGTGTTTGCTTCCCGAGTGTCTGTGGCGCTCGGGCCGTCATGTTTAATTCAGGGGGAGGTGGCGTTTATCAGCCAAAACATTCTCCCACATGAAAGTGAAACCTGGTGCCCGTCCAGTGTGAGATATGCAGTCACAGCGGGATTACTGGTGAGACTTCGACACAGGGGAGGATCTTAATGAAGACACACAAAACGCCTCTCCCTGCCGCCACTCGTTCCCACCCTGGAGTCTGCAGACGCCCTCCCCTCCCCGCTTGTTTTCACTCGCCCTGTCACCGTTTCATGTTCCTCTCCGCATTAACAGTCTCAGCCTCGCTGTGCAGAGGCGACTCGGTGTCACCTCATATACGCTCACCTGATGGCTGAGTGACAGGTGTGAGCTGCAGCCGCACACGTCGCTGTGATTGGACAGATTCTGTCACTTTTCAGCTCCTGGCAGCTTCAAACCAAACTGCACGACAATAATTAAGTTCATCGTTAATTCGATCGTGCACTGGAGTTTTCTGTTAACGATGATGTCACAGATCAGCTGTTTTCACAATACACCCCTTCACCAAGGAGGCCACGCCCCTAATGGTGCAAAGAGTTTTTTATCAGACATGAGGATTACTTTGAACTGTGACTCATGCAAAGCTGCTCTGCGAGGTCAGTCACTGCAGGGACAAAAGATCTGAAATTTGGAATAAGCACAAACAGCAGCTGCTCCATAACTTCATTAATTACTCATGATTATTTCTCTGTCTCTGTCTCACAGCTTCCTCTCTTCCTAAGCTGAGCATCAGCTCGTGTGCTGTAGAGAGGAGAGACGAGGGAACCTAATATAATTCAGTTGTTCTGCCAAAAAAAATCTCTGCTCCTCGCTGGGATTTGAAATCCTCCAGCCACAGAAAACACCACATTATAATTCACAACCAGCTGCATGCAAATCAATACCCAGGCCTGATGTTACTGGCTGATGTGAGGAAGCTGCTTTGGCAACAACACGTTAGCATAGCATCCATCACAAAGCGACGCGCAGTCAGAAGCAGGAGGCAGCGTGATCCAAGCACACGGACATTTGTTTTTTTCAGTTGTTTGGTTGGAGTCAGCGGAGAGGTTGTAATTATTTTAATGAGTTTAACGAACACACGACAGCTCGCTCGCCTCAGAAGCAAACACATCGTCATCGGTCCTGTTTTCCTCACACGGCCCCTCCCTGAGCCTGTTTCTGACGGATGTTTCTTCCTGTTAAACGGACGTTTTTCCTTCCCACTGTCACCAACTGCTTGGTCATAGAGGCTCAGCCTATTGCTGGGGTCTCTGTGTTCACATTATAACTGCTGCTGTCGGCCGGGCCGGGCGGTCGGTGTGCAGGTGTGCACGTGTGCAGGTGTGCACGTGTGCACGACCGTGAGCGCGCAGCCTCTGATCTCATTGTTCATCTGTGTGACGCTGCAGAAGCTTCCAGTTTGTCTTCATCATGTTCGAGGTCACATTATTATTATCAGACTTATCTTTGTCCTCTTTAAGTAAAGATGAAATTCGCTGGCTGGGCCGAGCATTCGATTTGGGACATTCGCTGGCTTGGTAGCATCCACCCATCTGTTGGAGGGTGGTGCAGCTTCCTTTGATGTTTTAACTGCTGATTTTAATTGGCCTGTTTTGTTTGGGACCAAATGGCGCCACAGCAGATCAGCAGCAGTCGCGCGAGGCGCTGCTCGGTCCTGTCTCTTTAAGAACCTCCTTCCCTAAAAGCCTCCTTTCCTCTGATTGGCTAACATCCAGAAACCTGCTGAGGGGCGGTTTGTGCAGCAGAACGACTGAATAAAGAAATCTGGCTGGAACGTAGGACAGAAACACGAAGCATGAAGGTCCCGTTTGACCCGCTGTTGGATATTCCCGGTAGAACAAAGCCAGTGGATGACCTTCACAGCACAGCTGTATACAGGAAGCTCCGTGAATCATTAATGACTGCACGCGTCGCTCTATAGATCAGCCCCGACACGGAGAACCATCCACGAGGTTCTTTATTCTAAATGCCATTAATGTGGTGAGCGAACTACAGCTGCTGTTTTTATCTTTTAGGCATAAAATCTTATTTTGTGCTCATTTTATATCTTTTTGTGGCAGCATTAGTGATTATTTGTAGGTACATTATAGGAACTCTGCACTTCCATCGGGTCAGCAGAAGCTAAAGGCGGAAGGTTAAAGTTGCGTTTTAGCCTCATGCTGAACATGTTCACATCAGATCTTTCTTGTTCTTTGGCTTCACTTCTGTTTAAGATTTCCCACTAAATGGATTAAAAGAAATAAATGGGTGGATGAACCTGAAGCTAAGGGTAAACCTGTTTGGAAGTTAGGAGGTTAAATCTACCAACGTGTTGCTTTCAGTGCTCCTCAATAACCTCGCAATAAAAAATAAACTTTTGATTAAGTTATAAGTGAACCATTGGAGTTCATGTCTGTGTCCAGGTCAGTGGAAGATTAATGTTGGGATTAATTGAGCCTGACTCAGAAATATTTAAAGGACACATCAGTTTGGCTGAAACAAAAACCAACCTTCACCCCGCAGAGGTCGCAGGACCACCTCAACGACTCCTGTAACCTGCACACCCAGAACTCCCGTCATCAGGTCGCCCTCCTACGTTAACCACCTCTTACCCATCCCTCTTCCCTCGCTCCAGAAACGGCACAACAGCCATGACCTCACCAGAGCCAATCAGGATGTCTCCAACCTGTCAGTCATTCCTAATTCATCCCATCATCCAGAGTTCGCTCTGCTCTTTAAGCCTGTGAACTCACATTATTTTGTCATGGTGCTCACTATTAAAATCATATAACATGTAATTTGAATTTAAAAAGTGACAGGGCCTCCGTCATACTTTCATCCATTCTTTGAATAGTGGGTGGTGCCAGTTCTCCACTTAATGTCATTTTAACCATCGCAGAATAACAACAGACGAGCTCCGCTCTAACCTCGAGACAGGAAGAGAAAGGAAATCTGATTCTCCTGGTTTCCTGTTCGGTTCAGGTTTGGTTAGAGTCTCATCGCGTTCGTCTCTTCACTGGATCAGAAGCTTGAAGCGGACCTCAGCAGCTGAAAGCATCAGCATGGACAGGATTAAATATGAGTCCTGATGCCATGTTTGTGCTGCAGCTCCGTGTTGGTGCTTTTGCAGCACTGCTATCCGAGCTTCGTCAATGAACAGTGAGGTCAGAGGAATAAAGTTCTGCAGAGAGAGCAGATGTTCTTCAGGCTGGACAACCTGTGGAGACTTTCTTCTACTGGCAAATTGATTTCAGCTTAAAGTAGCTGAGGTACCATCACAGCTTCAATCAGTCAGTCAGTGACGAACATGATACAGAATCATTTCCAGAGTCATCATGTGTGCTCACTTCTTCCTGTCTTTATTTCACGACAGCTTTTCCACCACAGCCAAGTTATTGAGATAAATGTTTTAAATCATCATAATTCACAGCACGCAGCACATGCATGAAGCACTAAACTGCACAAAGATCCAAACAACAGACAAACTTAACCACAGTCTGGGCTTTATTCAGATTAACATCCAAATAAAATCTCAGAATTTAATCAAACCTGGAGCTCAGC